CACAAATGTACACGGCATGACAACTTTCCCTTTATTTTGATATGATTGGGAATCACCTTAGCTGTATTTGGCAAAACATTTTGGAATATTTGGGTCCTCAATTTGATTTGGCCTTTGAACTGTTTTGATTTGAGTGTCACTTATGAGTCTGTTGTAGACGAAACGCGCGTCTTGCGTACACAATTAAAAGCCTGGGGTCTGGTTTTCGATAGTATCATAAAATATTTATATATGTATCTTGGGACAAGTTTCAGGACCATCTTATGGTTGCAGTCTTGTAATTGACAGCTCCATAGGCTTACATGCAAAACAGCTGATCTTCAAAAAAAAGTTAATCAACCTCGTAGTCAAAACTTCATTTTTCTACTTTCTGTTTGCTGTTTTCATCCGACCGCTCCACTTCTAGTAAACATGAGATCCTTCCACCTTCCTGTTTTAATTTCTGAAAAAAAAGATGCATTATTTTTGTTACATTTAAATAGTACTTTCAATTCATCATAACGTTTTAATCAAACAGTTTAAATGCAGTGAAGAAAAAAATTCAGAAAATTGGAACTATTTTATTTTACTCCATGTTTTGATATGCACCGGAAACTGAAGTTGTAATACAAGACTGGTACCTTATGACTATCATATGATATATCATAGAATGTAAAGCTTTTCTAAGATATAGTCATACCTTTTATGCTCAAATGAAAATGATATTTATTATTATTTTTTATTATTTACGAATATTTCATTTTTTTTTATTAAAATGCACATAAAATTATATATGAAAAGGAATGAAAATATTAATTGATAATATATTTTAATTTAGTTTGTATATTTATAATAGAATTCAAGAACTTTGTGTTATAAACGAAGTGTCATTTGATTGTGAATACTTTTTCAGATTTGGTACATCGAGAGTACCCGCTTAACGAATTGCCCGTGCAAATCCGTTAATAAACTACTGTATAAGGAAAGAAATAATATATATATTTATTAAACATAATCATGAGCAAGAAAAGAAAAGAAATGAAAAGGAGTCCAAGTTTTACGTCGCGGAATATTCAAATATTAAATGACGAAGCAGAGAAGAATACTATTTGGTGGTCTGAGCAACACAACAACAAACAGTGCCAAAAAAGAGCATGAAAGGCTGCATGTGCAAAGATCAATGCAGTACTTGACACTGGAAGTCGTAACTTTTATGATAATCATAAGACCATCATAAGTCAAGTCGCGAGGTGTCTTAATTTTACGATAAAAATTATGAAAAATCGTAACTTGGAACATTTTTGAAAGCGTATCTTACGACTGTGACATGTCAAAAGACCATCTTAAGACAAGTCTTAGTCATAAGATACTTTCGAAAACCAAGCCCCAGGTATCTATGATGAGTTTTTGTTACTGACAATCTTATTTTAACATATCTTTTGTAATTCATTTCAAATAAATTCTGTAATGATTTTGTTATGTTGTATATAGTTTTTTAGTTGTAATCTAGGATTTTAATGCAAATATTATGCAAATACGTAGAGTAAGATACTTCTCAATGGATGTTATGATTTCCCTCCTACTATCACACTATTTACTTCCCTAAAAGGGTGATTAAAGAGTACGACATCTGAAATGTAGAGGATACGTTTTTTAATAGCTAAACAAATAGTAGTAATAAACAGTACTTTTAAATAGGAATTTATAATACCTTTTCATACGTGCAATCACATCATTTGGTCAATTCCCAATTGTTGTTTAAATGGATTTGTCTGCAATTAACAACATCACGATGTTAACAATGTAAACACCAATCAAAAACAGAACATTAGAGATATGGCCTATGTAATTCTCTATTCATATTTAGGAAGGATTGATAATTTAAACCTTTCATATGATTCTTTATTTATTGAATACTAGCTACTTTTATTGACACATCAATTTAAAAGTTAGATATTTTTAGATTAAAAAGGTGCATTAGCAAATTAAAGTTTTGTTTATTCATCTTAGATTGACACCAATATTACATTTGTTGTAGAACAGACAGATATTGTCAACATTTGCACAAAATGCTTTTATCACGTTCTAATTTGAAAAGGACAGTGCGTAATTGTGTTTGTTTTCAAAGAATGAAAAGCAATGTAAACTCCATTTGAAAACTTAAATTAATTAAACAGAAAAATGTTTGATTTAATTGTCAAACACGCCATAATAATTGCATACTATTGTTTATTACATATTTTGGCTGATATTGAGATGTCTTCCTATGGAAACCAATGGTGTTCCTACTACAAGATGATTATGCTCTTAATCCACATGAGGCATACTTTATGCAGGGAGTTTCGAAGAACATTTGAAATAAAGCTCTCTCTCAACTTCACGTTCTGTCTAATATATGATATTCTTTCACTGAATAAAATCAAATTAAGATGACTTTGTTTATCACAGCTACTTTCCAATTTATTTCTAAAAAAGTACATAACAGATACACGTAAGTCTGCTTCATATTCAGATATCGACAGTGAGTGTTGAGTAAATATTTACTACAAAGGAGGTGACTATATTCTATATTTGCAAACTTTCTATATATATGAAGCAACACTCCAACATTTCACTGACACAATGAGTCTACCTATACAGATATTTATATAAAGTCCGGCTGATACGATATACCAAATCTTGAAAAATCAATATTTGATTAATAGAGCTTCTGAACCAATGATTCTTAAAGGTGAAATAGAGTCATACAATACGTCATATCGTTAAATGTGATTATGACTTATCACAATTGACACCGAATGTGTCTTTTGTATTACTTTTTAGCACGAATAATTTCTCTAATAGAACATCTTATATTGTTTATACTTTTGCGCGTCCGAAGTGTTTTTCTGGATTAACCTTCATCAGGAACGCTCAAACTTTAACATTTTAAAGCCAGGAATTTTTAAAAACTAGGAAACGGTAAGATCTATTTAACTAAAAAGGGACATGAAAGGTATAGCTAATTTCGTCTTATGCCAATTTTACCTAAAGAAAATTAAAAAATTAACTGACCTAACGAAAGACAAAAAGGATGGCTGACACCCGGTGATAGTAAAGCATACTTATATATAGATTTTCAAGACCAGAAGAGCTAAATGTCGAGAAAACAGTGAATGATACAAAAAGTATCAATTCCAAATATATATAGGGCTGATTTGGGACTTTGCTTCTCCTTATTAAGGATATTTATACTCAAAAGGAAATTGTGTTCATAAATTGGTAAAAATTAATCAAAAAATAAGAATTTCGATATCTACTTTAAAAACTGTTGACCCAGAGATATGTTGGCCTGTCGGTTCACAATTCAGAAAAAGACAATCTGACTGACAGCAACATTCTGTGTACAGACAGTGATCTAACTTTATAAAAACTATCGGTGTCTTTTTAGTAGTTCAAACTTACTTAAGCAGAAAACTTAACATTGAAAATTTGTCATTAATTGAAAGTTTATAGACTATGACCTACAGGGGCAGGGAGTCGAAATAGTATTCGAACTGACATGTACTGATAGTGATGCAACTTTACAGAAAATATCATTGATCTATCACAAGAAGTTCCTATCAAACTGACTGAAGCAGAAAACAAAACATTGAAAATTGCTAATTAATTCAAAGTCACTGGACCATGATCAGGGGCGGGGGCCTCAAAATAGTCATCAAACTGTAATGTACTGATAGTTATGCAACTTCATTCAAAATATCATTGATTTACAACAAGTAGTTCTTATCAAACTAACTTGAGCAGAAAACGTTACAATTGTTGATGTCGGCGAATACGAAGACGTCGCCGGAAAAGCAAAACCAATGTCTTGACTTCAGCGACTTTCGTCGCAGGCAAAACAGAAATCAAAATAAGTTGGTTTAGATAAAATGATTTGAAAACAAATTTTCGAATTTCAAATCGAAATAATGTCACCAATGCTACTTAGTACATGTAGCATATAAACGCTTTTCTCATGGAATGCATAAAACAAATAAGCAACAAAAAAAAAGACACTTTAAATTGTGTATTTACATTCATCAGGAACTGGAAGACCCAAAACACCATTTCTGGTTAGAGAATATATATTTTCAGTTAAACATATTTTTCCTAGAATTGACTGATGTTAATTTTTATTACTAACTTTGAACATATGAGTTTAACTTTAGTCAAAGCTTTTCGTAAAATCAAAAAAATATAAACGCGTTGTCGGAGGCACATTTTGTTGGAAAGACAGAAACACTTCATGCTAAAAATATGCGCACGATCGGAGCTTCTGCAATATTAATAAACTTATAATTACATTTTTGTAACAGATAAATTACTCGTTATATTAAGCTTTCCTCTGTTTTCCTATACATTTTAGTAACAGTGTGGTGGAAAACAGGAACAGTTATCGTTGTTGCATTTTATTTAGAAAATAAGACATAATTTTTGAATGCCTCGCGATTGTTGTCTGCCGATTAAAATTACAGAATCTTTATGCAACATCTTTGTAGTGTTACTATTGATTCGTTGAAGCTATGTTTACCTGTGTTCTCGTGTATGATCTTTATTGTTGACATTTGAGGTAACCATAAAAGTCTTATCGATGTATTAATTGGTTCCTGACTAAGTTTTTCCCTTCAAGCACATTGGTTATCAGGTAAGACAATTTCAAAATAATTCCGTTTTTCTCTATCTATTGGAAGGCTTTTATTCATATTTTTGTTATTTATTAGAGAAATATATGTTAAATAATTAAATGAAATTAAAAGGTCTTATCTATTATTCAAGGCAATTAAACAACATGAGCAAAAACTATTATTATTATATGTTATTGAATACATTTCATATGATAACCATAGATAACAAATGAAATCAACTCATTGATTGATTTATATGTGCATTATTTTACAGGAAATTTGGTCGAAAAGTCCATTAATTTCATGAAAAGCAACTAATAATGACGTTGATTATTTTTCAACTCAATATTTTTATGTCACTTTTGTAGCTATGCAATAGGTTTACATGGCTCTTTTCAAAAGGTCACAGGTTTATGATCAGAATGTACAGAAAATTGATGACGAGGATGTTCGTAGATCCAAAAATAAAGTATCATCTATTTTTACCTCAGCTTTAACCGTGATGAAGATAAGTGGGGCTGTACTGTCAACTGATAAAAATAGAGGGAGCAAAGTTAAGTACATTTCGCATATTTTATTCTGTTGTATCATGCAGTTCATTCCGATATTCAATGCATTTCGTTTTATTGGAGCATTTATGTCGGCTACAGGTAAACTGAAATACCATATCGGGCTTTTCTCGTTTGTCTGGTTCTTTTTCCTCATCGAGTATATGGCTATTATGTTTCTGTATAGTTCTAAACAACTGATGACTTTCTTTGTAACATTTGACGAGTATGAGTGTGATTATGGAATTCATTTCAAAAGGACAAAATACAAACGTATCATAGATGTCATAACGATTGTTTTAATTGTTGAAGTCTTCATAACAAACATACTAATAGCTGCATCATTTTCCTTTGATTGGATAGACCGAAGTTCACTTTATGGAATGTTCATATGGCCTCTACAAAACTCTACAGGTTCAACACTTGTTTTGGCAAGTGTTATGTATGGAGTTTTGATGATTCATCCTATGGTTACTTGTATCTCTGTTTTTTTATTTTACTTTTTTGTTCTACAATGCATCAAAAAAGAATTCGAGCATATTTCAATTCGTTTGGTCCAGTTACGTAAACGACCAATGACTATTTCAACAGAGATGGAAGATATTCGTCAACAGCATCAAGTTATTGTTAACATTTTGTCTACGGTAAACCCTGTTTTACGTCACATTGCTGGAGGGTTTTATGCTATGGGTACGCCTGTTATATGTTTTATGATATATGGACTGTCGTCAGGTACCTTGTTATGGGAAGATGGTTTTAAGATGATTGGTACTATTGTTTTTAACCTTGTTGCCATGTTTGCAATAACATTTGAAGGGGCTTCTATCAACAGCATGGTAAGTACTACTTGAAATCACTTTTCACTATCCTTATACAAAGCTTATCTTCTAAGTTTTTATTGTAAATAGCTATGTCCTTTTTCATTATAAAATAACTATAACAAGTTATACGCAGATTTAAACCTCTCATAGCTAAACTTTTCGTGTTCATACGTGTCTACCCAAAATGAATGGTGATCGTCAGAAAAGGGAGCGCGATATGTAGATTAGGCTACATTTATATAGTTTATTTATTTATGCAGTTAAACATTTCTCAGCTTCTATTTCTATATATACAGTAAAATATTTCTTAGCTTCTAAGCATACATTACCAATGAGTATAAAATTAAGGAGATGTGGTATGATTTCCAATGAGACTATTATCGATCAGTATTCAAATGGCGTAGCATTTTTATGACAAAACAATTAACCAAAACAAAAACGGCAGAAATCAACCATCGACAACCACTGAATTACAGACTCCTGATTTGAGACAGGCAATAAAAGAATGAGGCGAGATTAAATATGTTTGCGAGCAGTCAATCTTTCCCTAACCTGGGACATTGATAACAACACAATATAAAAACAAACTGTAAAAATCAGTTGAAAATGGCTTAACTCAAAAAATTTGAACGAAGCACAAAAACAACAAACATAAATACAAAAGACATCAATCACATATCATAGAGTCCTACACAAAATTGAGAATGGAAATGAGGAATGTGTCAAAGAGACAACAACCCGACCAAAGAGCACAAAAAAGCCCAAGGCCACCAATGGGTATTCAACACAGCGAGAAAATTCCGCATGCGGAGGCGGGATTCAGCTAGCCCCTAAACGAAAATGTGTACTAGTTCAGTGAAAATGGACGTCACACTAAATTCCGAAACATATAAATCAACTAAAGTTAAAAAAAACATACAAGACTAACAAAGACAAGAGGCTCCTGACTTAGGATTGGCGCAAAAATGCGGCGGGGTTAAACATGTTTTGTGAGATCTCAACCATCCCCCTATACATCTAGCCAATGTAGAATAAGCAAACACATAGCAATACGCACAGTAAAACTCAGTTTAAACATGTTAAAAGAAGTCTGAGTCCGATGTCAAAATTGGTAACAGAAGAAACTATGCAAAATGACAATGATTCATACATGAACAAAAGACTACTAGCAGTTACTGACATGCCAGCTCCAGACCTCAATTAAACTGATTGAAAGATTATGTCTTCATCATATGAAAATCAAGCACAATCCCTCCCGTTAGGGGTTTAGTATCATACCATCATAAAATATATGAGAAGAACAAAACCCGTATCATTCCAACAACTAGTTTTAGAATAAATGTGTTTATTTCCAATGCAAAGACCCTATAAGGGAATCAATTAAGGGTTTGGTTAGCTTTTGGTGTGACTGACGACATGTTTGTGATTTGTATAGAATATTATCATAAAAGATTGGATGTGAAATACCTGAACGTATAAAATTTCTGCATGTTTTTTCCCCTATTTGGAACATATTGCCACTTTTTTCAATGAATTTGCTTTGACTTATTTCTTTGTTCAAGTTAACAGTGATCATTTGAGTTCATATTTTTACGATGTATGTTTCAAAATAGATACACTGACCTATTTATACCAGAAAAAAGAATTAAACAGTAAACAACATAATATGTTGTGTCTGTCTCTTTTAAAGCTTGTTATCTATCCCATATATTGTCCTTTATGAAATTTCTATGTCTTTATTTTTATCATAACTGTTGGTTTTAATTCCTATGGTTTTTTTTTTTTTTTTTTTTTTTCCTTTTATTTGCTGATAACTGTCATCTTCCATGTGTATTGGTATGACAAATCGGTTCTTTATTAAGTATATACAAAAGAAATTAACATGTTCATAGCCATAGACAAATTTGAAATAAACCAGAATGCTTTAGAATCCTGAATGATATTTCTGTTTTTTTTAATTATATATGTATATCTCTCCTTCCTCTTGAAAATTCAAAGGGTATTTTCCAACCCTAATTGGTCACCGCAAACATTTGACAGTTGTTATCCATTCGTTTGATGTGTTTGAGCTTTTGATTTTGCCATTTGATTAGGGACTTTCCTTTTTGAATTTTCCTATTCAGTTCGGTATGTTTGTGATTTTACTTTTTATTATGTAGTATAGTAACAAATTATATTTCAGGCTCACCAACCGCTTGAAGAACTACATAACTTCGATATGTCAGTACTACCGGACAAGACGGTTCATCAAGTAAGACACTTCAACCATTAATGAAAGTCTTGAGAAATGTTTATTTTACGATACACTTATTCTAATTTGAAAAAGTCAAAAATTGAAACGATCGATTTTAACCGAATTTTTGTTGGAAATCAGGTTATTGCTATCGATTGGTACGGCGGTTCGGACGGATGGTTCTAGGTGTTTCCATAAAATAACATATAAACCGTTCACCAATCCTTTTAAAATTGTAATATGTTGTTACTAATTACAAAAAGGAGGTCAAATTTGATATTGACAATTTTCACATTAGCTGTTCAGGAGTGTTGGTTCTTGGTTGATTGGAAATTTCTATTTTAAGTAGTTTCCGTGCAACAAGTTGAAGACAGTTCTACCAATGATAATTAAACTTTAATATGTTGTTACTGATAGCAAGTTCTATTGATTGACGATTTTCACTTTCACCGTTTAGAAATTATGCTCTTCCGTATTTCTTAAACAATGACACTAATAAAAGTAATACAAAAACGGGTTTTCTGTCATTTTGATAGCATCTTGTTAACAATTGAACCGTTGCATGGGTTGACATTGAATATAATTTGCATAACGATATTTTTAACTTCAATATTATAGAGATGATTTTAAGATTTTATAGAGACTACTTATTATAAATTTCATTTTCAAATGAAAGAATTTGCCGTTGTGTCTAAAATGTTTATCATAAAAATATAATTCTTATTAATTAGAAATAAGAAGTGCACAGTATTTATCACAGGTAATGGATATCGAATTGAGAAAATGTATGTCTAATAGACATTTCAGTAACTACATATTCACATGTTACCTTGACGAAATTGCACTGCATTGATATATTTGGGATATCAAAATAGCGACACATTCAAGCGTCAAGTCTGTGTATACCTTCACATAAGAAGAGATTCTAAACGTGATTTTAACAAGAGAGATAAATCGGACGTTTAAAGTATTACCCATTTTAATGCCAAAGTAAAGTCACCAGTGCCAAATTTAGCGAAAGAAATAAATCCATAGTGTTCTTCTTTACAGAATGAAAAAGTAAAAAAAATAATTTAAGTATTAAAAACTAATCAAAGATACAAGGCTTATAATTTGTCACGCCAAACGCGCGTTTCTTCTACATAAAACTCGTCAGTGGCGCTCGAATAAAAAGTTGGAAAGCCAAAATCAAATACGATGTTGAAAATAAAGTTGAGAATGGAAATGAGGAATGTGTCAAAGAGACAACAACCCGACCAAAGAGCACAAAACAGCCCGAGGCCATCAATGGGTCTTCAACACAGCGAGAAAATCCCGCACCCGGAAGCGGGTTTCAGCTGGCCCCTGTTGAAAAGCATTGCAAGTCAAAAGAGTTGTGTGAAATACGACTGAGGCCTTCTATGCTTGAGATTGAAAAACCTGAGTGGCATTCAGTGGCACTCAAAACAGCACAATGTAAAAATGTCATTTTTATTTAAAATGCAGTGCTGAAAGTAAATACTAAATAAAACCAATCATCTCATATTTGAGGTTTGTTTGTGAAATCAACTATTACAAGTCCATTCTAGCCTGCAATAGAGCTTAGAACAATAATTCTGCGGAAAAGATTACTTAAATAATCCAATCATTTTTATCCATGAAAATATTTTTGTGTAATTCATATTTTTAAAACATCTCCGGGCTATTTCCTGACTTTTGAAAACCTTTTCGAACCCACTACATAGTATGCGTCACATATTGAACTTTTTTTTTAGCTTTTTTTAAAAACATTTATTTTAGTATAACGTAACCAAATTGTAAAACTCTTAAATTAAAACAGTTTAAACTTCTGTCCACGGTTGAAGTATAAAAAGGTACAGTGTATCGCAAAATTGGGGTATCATTTGAACTTCGCCTTCGTCAGTGGTAGACGTTTACCAACAGCTATAAACTGTTTTCTCCCCTATTTGGAACATATTGCCTCTTTTTTCAATGAATTTGCTTTGACTTATTTCTTTGTTCAAGTTAACAGTGATCATTTGAGTTCATATTTTTACGATGTATGTTTCAAAATAGATACACTGACCTGTTTGTACCAGGAAAAAGAATTAAACAGTAAACAACATAATATGTTGTGTCTGTCTCTTTTAAAGCTTGTTATCTATCCCATATATTGTCCTTTATGAAATTTCTATGTCTTTATTTTTATCATAACTGTTGGTTTTGGTTCCTATGGTTTGTTTTTTTTTTTTTTTATTTTCTTTTATTTGCTGATAACTGTTATCTTCCATGTGTATTGGTATGACAAATGTTCACAATTGGCAAATATATTACTAGTATATACAAAATAAGGGTATAAACATTAAATATCAAAAAAGGAGAAAATTACTATGTTTGTAAATTGTTGCTTCTGGTGTTGTTTTGTATAGCTAAGATTTCAACTACATATATGCCTCATGCCTTTCGTGATATTAGATACAGAGTATCTTTATCAGGAGATTGACTTCAGCTTATGTGGTTCCTTTCATTTGTATTTTTAGACTCTTATCTAAAAAATTCGTAAGGGTTCCGCGGAACCAAGTGTCTCGCCTGTTTGTTAAAAATCCATAGTTTAAGAACGTTATTAAAATTTAAAAAAACTTAAACCACAGAGTGAATATTTGTGGACGCCGCCGCCGACGACTACGGAATGTAGGATCGTTATGTCTCGCTTTTGCGACAAAAGTCGCAGGCTCAATAAAAATGGGGAAAAAAATTATTAAACATTTTCCTCTAGATACTATCTTTTGATTGTAAGAAGCTTCTGTCCAAGTTAGGTAAAATCAAGGATGGTTTTTGAATCTAATAAATGTTTTAAAATCTTTAACTGCAGATTGTATGTAATACTAACTGGAAGAAAAACTAAGTCCATTTATAAGTAATATACGGAAAAACAGGAAATAATTTTTTACAAAACTTCTTTCTGGATACTAGCTTTTTATCATAAACAAGCTTCTGTCCAAGTTTGGTAAAATCCAGGATAGTGTAAGAAAGTTATTAAATTTTTTAAAACTTTAACCACAGAGTGAATGTAATGTTAACTGGCAGAAAAACTAAGTCCATTTATAAGTAAAATACGGATAAACAGGATTTTTTTTTACAAAATTTACTTCTGGATACTATCTTATGATCATAAACAAGCTTCTGTCCAAGTTTGGTAGAAGTGCAGGATATTTTAAGAAAGTTATTAAAATTTCAAAAACTTTAACCACAGAGTGAATATTTGTGGACGCCGCCGACGACGGACTGTAGGGTCGCTATGTCTCGCTTTTGCGACAAAAGTCACAGGCTCGACAAAAAGAGGCGAAGGATACCAAAGGGACAATCAAACTCAAAAGTTGAAAATAAACTGACGCCATGGCTAAAAAATACAAACAAAAACAAACAACAGAGCACAAAACACAATATAGAAAACCAAAGACTGAGCAACACGAACCTCATTAAAAACTAGGGGGGATCTCAGGTGCTCCGGATGGTTAAGCAGATCCTACTTAACATGTGGCACCTAAGGATAATATAAGATAATTGTAGTTTCAAAAGATAAATTTTCCATACAATTTTTATCGTGTCATATATTCATATATCCAATATTTTCTTTTATATTTCAGATTCTAATTTTCACAAACAGACTGACTGGTCCTCCAATTGGCGTCAGTGTTTACGGATTATTTGTAATAGACTACTCTACAGTGTTAATGGTAAGTAGGAGGGCACAAGGGCATGTGTACAACCTTCATCATCACACGAAAATTTACAGTGGGTAAAAAGACTTTTGTTATATAATAACCTTCATTTAACTGCTTGCACTACCGTCAGTATCACATATATTGAGCATATCTATACATTGACGTTGATATGCTATCAACGTTAATGACAGGCACAGCAATCTCAATTTGCCGTTTGTTGTTGAAGCACAAAGATTTGCAATGAGATAGGGATAACAATACTCTCAGATTCTTGCTAGGTTGTGATAATGTAGGCAGTGAGTCAGTTACTGTTGGAAATTTCACAAACACAAAATAAAACAGCCCTTAGATATCTATTGTTTGCATGCTGGACATTCTGATTTAGAATAATTCTTTTGATAGATATTTCAACATACATGATACTAAACCCCTAACGGGAGGGACTGTGCTTGATTTTTGTATGATGAAGACATGATCTTTCAATCAGTGTAATTGATGTCTGGAGCTGGCATGTCAGTAACTGCTAGTAGTCCTTTGTTAATTTATGTATCATTGTCATTTTGCTTAGTTTCTTCTGTTACCTATTCTGACATCGAACTCGAACTTCTTTTTAACTGAGTTTTACTGTGCGTATTGCTGTGATTTTGTTTATTCTACACTGGCTAAAGGTATAGGGGGAGGATTGAGATCTCACACAACATGTTTAACCCCGCCGCATTGTTTGCGCCTGTCCCAAGACAGGAGCCTCTGGCCTTTGTTAGTCTTGTATGGTTTTTAACTTTAGTTCTATTATATGTTTCGGAGTTTAGTGTGACGTCCATTTTCACTAGTACACAATTTTGTTTAGGTGCCAACTGAAGCCCGCCTCCGGGTGCGGGATTTTCTCGCTGTGTTGAAGACCCATTGGTGGCCTTGGGCTGTTTTCTGCTCGTTGGTTGGGTTGTTGTCTCTTTGACACATTCCCCATTTCCATTCTCAATTTTAATTGATATTTTGGCAGTTAAGGGCAGTTGAAAACAACATTGAACGACGAAGGTAATAATTTTCTTTTTGAAAAGATGAATAAATTATTTTGTGCTTGGCAAAAAAGAAATCTTACTATTTTTGGAAAAATTTTGATTATCAAAACACTAATTGTGCCCATTTTTACTTTTGTGGGATCTGCCTGCATAGTTCCAGAGAAATATTTAAAAGAAATAGAAAAAAGTTGTTTTAAATTTGTTTTGGATAATAAACCAGATAAAGTAAAAAGAAATTCAATTATTGGTCCCTATAAAAAGGGGGGATTGGATATGATAGATATAAGGAGTTATTTCACTGCTTTAAAAGCTATGTGGGTAAAAAGAGTAGTAAATTATTGTGAAGGAGGTTGGAAAATTATACCTCAGCACTATTTTTATAATTTTGGGTCAAACTGGTTAGTGTTTCAAACAAACAGTGGGAATAAGCCAGACGAAAGCATTGAACACATCCCAGATTTTTATAAAGATATCATTAAATGTTGGAAATTAACTGGTGGAGGTCTAACAAAAAACCAGAAACATTAACAGAGATAAGAAAACAAATATTATGGAATTTTATTAAATTTGAAAATAAATCTATATTTTTTAAAAATTGGATTAAAAGCGATCTTATTTATGTAAATGATATCATAGATGAAAAGGCTGTTTTTCTCAAGACATAATTTTAAATAAACTAAAAAATAAATCAAACTGGATAGCTGAAATTAATTTAGTAAAGAAATTAATACCAAAAGACTGGGCAGCAATTTTAAAATCGGAAAATTCTGTAAAAAGTATTGTTAATATAAAAAGAAACCAATTTATATTGGAAGGTTTACCTATAAAATTAGAATCACTATCAAATAAACTTTTATATAAGTCTCTGATAAATAAAAAATTTTAACCAGCTATCGGACCAAAAAAATGGCTGCGTATATTTGATATAGATGATGTGTTATATCAAAACAATTTATATAAATTTTTATTCAGATATTTAAAAGAAAATAAACTTAGAATTTTTAGATGGAAATTACTACAACATATTCTACCTACAAAGAAACTTTTATGCAGGTGGAAAATTGTAAACAATAGTTCTTGTAATTTTTGTACACAAGAAGAGGATTATGATCACTACTTTATACTGTGTCCGTATTTAAAACTTTTTTGGAATAAAATAAATGAAGTTTTAAAAAACAGTAAAATAACTTTTAAGATAAAACTAAGACACTTGGTATTTGGATATAAAACTTTTGACGAAGAATATTTTGACTTTAACTATTTTTTAACGATTGTTGGCTTTTCAATTTACAAAGCCTATTACATATCTGATCAAAAGACAAAAAATGTCAATGTTTTCTTAATTTTTCTCAATGAGTTCAATAGGAGAGTATGTTTGAAAATAAAAAAGTAATATTTTAGCAACTATTAGAAAACATATGAATAGTCATATTAAGTGATATTATTTAATATATATTTGATGTACAAATGTAATATGTATTTTACAACTAATCAATACCCTGAGTGATTAGTGGATTGTAACAGGGAACATCAGGAGAAGCTTGGACTCCTGAAGGATATTGTAACAAGCCAATATTTGAAATAAATATTTAATTATGTTGTTAAAAAAAAAATAATAATTTCCTTTTTCTAAGTAGAAGTACACACACGTCGTATGTGTACGGTGTTTCAATTTCAGAACTGATTTGAAGTTTAACGAGCTTACCAAATCATCAAAAAGAATAGAAAAAAATAAATAAATTCAATTTATTGGCAAGATTTATATTTTATTAATCAAGATGTTTTTCTTGTAACAAACACAATTATTAAACAATTCTTACATCTTATATGGGTAGCAAAAATATTCCACAAAAATACCATCAACATAGTTTGTTAATTACTTCTCCACAACGGTAACCACAGTCAGACAATGCGAATAAAACAATCTTGATTAACTAGTAATAAACTTGTTTTACTTGATAAACTACCTTGTAACAATTTTTAAACTACCTTTTGACACTTTCGGTCTCTTCTAATATTTTCTATAGTCTTCCTTATTTTGACTTCCTGCTATTTAACTGTATATATCGGGTTATGATACACAAGTACAAACATAGATACAGATTCAACACATACATTTAAAAAGGACACTGATCAGAGACACCGGACAACGTGAAAAATGAGATAGTAGTAGACTGTATGTAAAGGTGTACATATATTCAATGAATTAATTTCATCTTTCAGGTATTTGGGACAATTATAACATATGCAGTGATCGCAGTACAATTCACTTCAACTGGTTCACCAAGTGACAGCTGTTTATACAATAATACAAATGTGACTTTAATAACATAGAACAAATAGGAGCTCCCATTAACATAACATGCTTTTTACAGTGGTAAATTATTAACAGAGTAAACATCTATATCCGTATAATCTGTTTAAAAATAATGGCGGTAATCCAGACATTCTCGTTTGGTAGTTTTTCAACGCAACATTTTCTGTTGGTTAAAACATGAATATCACACTTTATAAATTTTGTGTATCCAACGAGCTTTTTTGGGGTTTATCTTTATCTGGAACGTTCAAATCCATCCATTTAAAAGCTGGGGAAGTATAAATATATGACGAGCTCCGTTTTGTTTTTGGACAAAAAGGACATGAAATAAATAGCCAAAACCACCAAAGGTTAACAGTGCCTGAAGGAGTAGGAATCTTAATTTATAATAAGTTATTGATGTATTAGCGGAAATATCTTGAAATGTATGTTATAAATATGGTAAGTGCGGAAGCACTGACTACTGGGATGATGATAACCTCGGTTATTAACAGTTCACCGGCAGTGGTATCGAACCAGTGCTAGAAATGAATTGGTAATACAATAAAAAATAAAAATATGTGAAATGATTGTCAATAAGACAACTGACCATCAGAGACCAAACGACGTAGAAGTTAGCAATTATAGGTAACTGCAAGGCTTTCAACAATGAGGAAAAACCCATATCGCATAGCAAGCTATAAAAGGACCCGACATGACAAAATGTAAAACAATTCAAACGAGTCAACATTACTGGTAAAGAACTGTTAGTTCAAAAGAGTATCATAGTCGAAACCAAAGGCTACCGGTGATTTGTTAGTCCAAGACAGTTGACCGTAGACATCACTATTCGTGGACTGTTAGTCTCAGAGAGTATCATAAATGACACAACTGGTGGGCTCACGTTGAACCCACAGCCTATTATGATCATAGTCGACACTACTTGTGGACTATCAGTCCCAGAGAAAATCATAGTCGACACTACTATTGTAAACTATAAGTCCCAGAGAGAATTAAAGTCGACAATACTACTCCTTCAGTGTTAGTCGACACCAGCACTTGTGGACTGTAATTCACAGAGAGTATCATACCCCCATATTCAAATGTCCATAGCTCATTTTTATCGCACTTTGACCTTATGTATCCTAATTAAATTTAATCTAAACACATGCTGCAAAGACCATTCATTTCACTTTAATATCATCTTGATATCTAAAACAGCAAAACCCTCTTTGAAACGAAATGATTAAGATAATATTTGCAGATAATTAATTCATTAGTCATACAGCAATAAATAAATATGAATAAAAAGATGTCCTTGTTTTAGCAAAAACTAATTTCCTGTTGTTATCTATCAATTAGACAATAATGTCTTTGCGAGGAAGGAACCTAGCCAAACTTCATTTGTCTATTCACGTGATTGTTCTAATTTGTCATAAAATCTGTTTCCATGTCTGAGTGTCAACATGACTTATATAATATCGCATTGTCATATAGATCAAGTTATGTAACGTTTAATGGAATCTTAATAAAAGACTGTTAACAAGAGCATTGGTAACCATAATATTTACTATCATGAGTGAAATGCTTCGCAACTGACACGCTTTTAAGTACAAATTTAAATCTAACTTCCAGTTCACAAATTTTACATTGATCTGCTGCTTCATTTTGATACAAGATACAACCATCACAAGCAAAACTAACCCAGAATGTTTTTCCAAGTGCTGTCCTTTGTTTTCATTCTCCCTAATGTTTTTCGCGCTTTTTATGTTTTCTTAGGTTTTTAATTGATGTTTGTTCTTATTTCATGCATATTCAGAGCGAGAACAAATTAAAACTAAATCAAATAGGTAAGGGGTGAGGGGCAGGAGTTTCGACTGCCTACTAGAAAATAAAGAGTTTTTTTGATAGACACAGAAAATTGTTTTTGCAACAGGACATCAACTGACTTCTTATAAAGCCTTCGCGTGAAGAGAGCTTGACATTACCCTTACACAATGTATCGGATTTAAACCCCCATTGCGACCGTATGTGGTGGTGAATTTATATATACCACAAAGCAAAATGGACGACTCGTGCCCCATTGTAGCAATGGTTTTACTGTCAGATTGAAGAAGTCTACGGATAATTGTACTTCTATACTCAAGTCAACCATTGGAGTCCAAAGATGTTTGCACATTACACGTCACTTCCATACACCTTATCGATATTTATTGTAATCCAGGTCTGAAATAACACAACTTTTTCATGACTTCATAAACCAGTTAAAGCTATCTGGGGCCCGGTTTTAACAATGTCTTGTGCAGAGAGACATGTTTAAATTATCTGTTGTGTTTTGTGAACTGTTGTTTGCCTATGTGTCTTTTTCTTCTTTTTTTTAGTCATGGCGTTGTTAGTTTATTTTCTACTTATGAGTGTTTTAATATTCCTTTGGTATCTTTCGCCTCTCTTTTTCAAACAAAGCATTTTATGATTTTAATGTGTGTTTCAAAAATGGAATCATAAACTATAAAAATTTCAAAATGCATATTTTCTAAACTTTTTCCTCCCTCAGCTCATTACTGATGACCTTTGTTTATGGAAGTTGTCTAAGTTTACGGATTAGGCTAAATAACGATAAGGTGTATTGCAAAAACCTATTAAGACTTGGCAAAAGTAACTGACGCATGCATTGGAAATGAAAGTTCCCCTATTTGACAGCTCCAACAAAAAATTGTGAACAAGTCGACAAAAGTCGATAAGTAGTATCTTTTACGTAAAATAACACAATGAATACACAAAACATCAGCATCAGCAACACAAGGTTCTTCCTTACATCGAAACAAAACCGATCTTACATTTTTTCTACAGCGGCCCGTTGTTGACAGTTTGGGGTTTAATACACCAGTATTGTTCCTTTAGTAAGCTCTCCAACCAAATACAGAACAAGCCAGGAATAATGCAATTCACTGTACGATGTAAAACACAAAACCTTAACAATCAGATAAGCAGGAGAAAGTTACAAAGATACGTTGAAAAGCAGTCACACAGACCCTCCTGTATCTGTTAAGAAGTACCAATATTAATATCAGACAGCAAGGGTTTCTGCTTGAGAGACGCATGTACACAATATAACTTTTCGATCGAATCTTGGTGTATCAGTGGTGCAAGAACAAGCACACTGGTGGATTTACTGGAAGATCGTATTGAGAAAGAAATACAAAGGCACAAGCATACTGTTATACACTTTTGGTTAGGAACGTGTCACTTGACCAATAAAGAGGGTATATACACAGAGCTAAGACACAAAGGTAATAGATTAATAGAGACAATAGAAAAAGAGTTTCAGAAAGCAAAATACATACCGTATAGCGGGTTATTTTCGCGGGGTGTTTATTTTCGCTTATTTTGGCGGGTCAGGGGAAATCGCAAAAAAATTAATTTCGCGTTTCTAATAGCTAAAGCGTTTTGTAAACTATATATTTTTCCCGTTCGACGGATCAATAACGGTTTATGTTAATTTAAACAACAAAAATGCCAAAAACCATTATTCACTGGCTTTCAGGTGTTCTTCTATATTCATAAGAATTTAACTTCATTTGAATTAAAACATCTTACATTCAGTAAAATATGTGTGAAATTACAATACGTTGTTAATAAGTTTCCATGGGAGATCACCTAAAACATTATTCTTTTGAATATAGAAGACTTTTCGAAAGAAAAATTGATTATCTTCCATGGAAACTTACACATATTTTACTGAAAATAAAATGTTTAAATTCAAATGATGTCTGGTTCTTATGAATATAGAAGACTTTTCGAAAGAAAAATTGTATGAAAGCTTAGTTAGGACATTTTTGTAGCAATTCAAAATTACTACCCATCACCTTTAGCATGACAATAACAATAAAATTTCTAAACAAACTGTTAGACTGATTTTTCATAATAACATTAAAGTGGAATAAAAGTCTTATAGGATTGTAAGTATGCTATATTTTATCACCTTGCAATTTCACGACTTGACTGTGGTTTTCTATAGCAGTTTGTTCAAATTTCTGACCAGTTGAACAGTTTGTTTTATAAAACAAATTGCAATTTGGTCAGAATTTTGAATAAGTTGCAATAGGTTGAAAGCAACACTAACAGTCGAGTCACAGTAAAAACTTTAACTGCAGACTGTACGTAATGTTAACTGGAATAAAACTAAGTTCATTTATAAGTAATATACGGAAAAACAGGAAATAAATTTTTACAAAATTTCCTTCTAGATACTAGCTTTTGATCATAAACAAGCTTATGTCCAAGTGTGGTACAAATCACGAATAGTTTAAGAAAGTTATTAAAAGTTGAAAAACTTTAACCACAGAGTGAATGTTATGTTTACTGGCACTGGCAGAAAAACTAAGTCCATATATGAGTAAAATACGGATAAACAGGATTTTTTTTTTTACAAAATTTTCCTCTGGATACTATCTTATGATTATAAACAAATCTAGGATAGTTAAAGAAAGTTATTGAAATTTGAAAAACTTTAACCACAGAGTGAATGTTATGTTAACTGGCAGAAAAACTAAGTCCATTTATGAGTAAAATACGGATAAACATGATTTGTTTTTACAAAACTTACTTCTGAATACTATCTTATGATCATAAACAAGCTTCTGTCCCAGTTTGGTTGAAATGCAGGATAGTTTAAGAAAGTTATTAAAATTTCAAAATCTTTAACCACAGAGTGCATAATTTTGGACGCCGCCGACGACGACGACTCCGACGGTATGTAGGATCGCTATGTCTTGCTTTTGCGACAAAAGTCGCAGGCTTGACAAAAACCGCCAAAATTTTTCGTATACTTTGTTGCCCCAAAAATCACTTTGACCTTATTTATCCTAATTAAATTTAATCTAAACACATGCTGCAAAGACCATTTATTTCATTTTAATATCATCTTGATATCTAAAACAGCAAAACCCTCTTTGAAACAAAATGATTAAGATAATATTTGCAGATAATTAATTCATTAGTCATACAGCAATAAATAAATATGAATAAAAAGATGTCCTTGTGTTAGCAAAAACTAATTTCCTGTTGTTATCTATCAATTAGACAATAATGTCTTTGCGAGGAAGGAACCCGTTTTGATAAATGCATAGCTTCATTTGTCTATTCACGTATTTGTTCTAATTTGTAACAAAATCTGTTTCCATGTCTGAGTGTCAATATGACTCATATAATATCGCATTGTCACATAGATCAAGTTATGTAACGTTTAATGGAATCTACACAAAAGACTGTTTACAAGAGCATTGGTAACCATAATATTTACTATCATGAGTGTAATGCTTTGCAAATGACAAGATTTTAAGTAAAAATTTAAATCTTATTTCCAGTTCACAAATTTTACATTGATTGATTTTGATACAAGATACTACCATCACAAGCAAAACTAACCCAGAATGTTTTTCCAAGTGCTGTCCTTTGTTTTCATTCTCCCTAAGGTTTTTCGCGCTTTTTATGTTTTCTTAGGTTTTTTATTGATGTTTGTTCTTGTTTCATGCATATTCAGAGCGAGAACAAATTAAAACTAAATCAAATAAGTAAGGGGTGAAGGGCAGGAGTTTCGACTGCCACTAGAAAATAAAGAGTTTGTTTGATAGGGAAAGAAAATTATTTTTGCTACAAGGTATCTACTGACTTCTTATAAAGCCTTCGCGTGAAGAGAGCTTGACATTGCCCTTACACAGTGTATCGGATTTAAACCCCCATTGC